AGAGATTGTTTTAACTCCTCAACACCTGCGACATCATCTCCAGTAATAATCATGTCATCAACATAAAGAAGTAAAAGAACCATACCCTGAGCAGTCTTACGAATGAACAAAGCTGTATCATGTGGACTGGAAGTAAAACCAAACTCACTCACAACAGCACTAAACTTTGCATACCAGGCTCGAGGGGATTGCTTCAACCCGTATAATGCACGGCGCAATCACATACCTTGTTTGAGGATGGTGGAGCCCAGGAGGTGGTTTCATATAAACTTCTTCTTCTAGGTCACCATTAAGAAAAGCATTTTTCACATCCATCTGAAACAATTTCCATCTCCGTATAGCAGCGATAGCAAGCAAACTACGCACAGATGTAAGACGAGCAACTAGAGCAAATGTCTCTTCATAGTCGATTCCATACTCCTGTGTAAAACCCTTGGCAACCAAGCGTGCCTTATAACGCTCCACAGAACCATCAGATCGCGTTTTGATCTTGTACACCCATTTACAGCCTATTAGAGATTTTTCAATAGGGAGATCAACTACATCCCATGTACGAGTGTACTCAAGAGCTTGTAATTCATCTTGCATAGCTTGTTGCCAAAGAGGGTTAGAAGAGGCCTCTTGATAGGATTGAGGCTCATGTAACGAAGTAATAGCAGGAAAACAATGATAATCACGAAGGTAGTTTGGAGGCTTTCTTACCCGAGTAGGATGACTCGAGGATAGGACAACAAGCTCATTTGTAGACGAGGAAGTAAAAGAAGGCTCAAAATTATCTAATGCATTACCAACAAGCAGATCATCTTCTACAGAACTGGTTGGAGCATGTGGTGAGGCATTGTAGAGCTCATCAGATGTACCTGCATTAGAATCACTAGGAAATAGCTCAATAGAAGGATTAGTAAAAAATGGAGGTTGATGAGAGGATGACACTTTGAAGTTTGACAATGATCAGAACATAGTGTGTTCCCAAAAGACAACATGACGTGAGACTCGGAGTTTTTGTGACACAGGATCCCAACAACGATATCCTTTTTGTGTAATCCCATAACCCAAAAAACAACATAATCGAGCTCTAGGTTCTAACTTGTTATGTTCATGAGGTGGAAAAAGAACAAAACATGCACAACCAAAAACCTTAAGAAGATTATAAGTAGGAAGAATACCATGTAGACGCTCATATGGAGACTGGTTATTAAGGACTAATGATGGAATGCGATTAATAAGATAAGCAGTTGTAAGAGCAGCCTCACCCCAAAATCGCTTTGGACAAGAAGATGAAATGAGCAAAGCACGAACAAAATCAAGGATGTGTCTGTGTTTGCGTTCGGCTCGCCCATTTTGTTCAGAAGTATAAGGACAAGATTGTTGTGGCAGTGTACCATGTTATTTCAAAAAAGATTGAAGTTTAATACCAAGATATTCAGTAGCATTGTCAGTTCTCAAAACTTTGATAATTTTAGAGAACTGAGTTTTGACCATGGTAGCAAAATCAATATAAATTTGTGATAATTCAGAGCGACTTTTCATAAGGTATATCCAGGTAAAACGAGTATGATCATCAATAAATAACATGAAGTATCTGAAATCCCCCATGGTGGGTGTAGGAGATGGACCCCAAACATCAGAATGCACAAGATCAAAAGGAGCAATAGAATGAGAATGACTACTCGAAAAAGATAAAGCTGGTTGCTTTGCAGATTGACATGACACACAATGCACAGATTCATTCGTAACTGATCTTAATAAACCACGAGAGATAAGTGGACGAAGTTTACCGACAGAGGTATGTCCGAGTCGTGAGTGCCACAAATGGAGAGGAGAAATGTTAGTAGCAGCACAGACTTGGAAGATTTGTTGATATGGAATTTGCAAAGACTCTAATTCAATAGCACAAAGCAAGGTTTGGATGAATCGATCATTTGGAAATGATGGTGTATCCATTTTATTATCAGGAATATGCAGATAGTTGAGCTCAAACAAACGCCCCACCTTGCGACCAGTTCCAAGAAGTTGTCCTATCCGTGGGTCCTGCACACGACAACCATGAGCAGAAAATGTTACTTCAAGACCAAGATCGCATAATTGACCGACAAATACAAGATTATAACTAAGTTTTGGAACTAAAAGGGCATTTGGTAAAGTCAATGACTTTGTAGAAACATTACCAATGTGACTAACATTCATAGGGGAACCATCAGCAGAATAAATATCAGGAAAGGAATTATTAGGTGACATTGAAGAGAAATGAGCGGTAATTGAAGACATATGGTTACAACAACCAGAATCGAAATACCAAGGTTTGGTACCCGGAGCAGTAGATAAGGCAGTAGGAGCATTAAAAAGATTTAATATCACCTGTTTTAGGGATTCAAGGTTGACATTAGGTTGTTCTATCACTTCTTTGGCAACCATAACAGTAGCAGGATGAGTTACAATCCTTTCAAAACTCGTCATAGAATCAGTAAACTCACAATACTAAAAAACTCTAAAAATATGGAGAAATAGATGCCAAGATCAAAATAACAAACCAACAAAATACCTTTGAAACGGTCTAAGAATTGAGGATAAACAATCCAATATGTATGAGAAGAGATCCCAATGACAAGGTTTCATATCTGGAATGGAATTGAAAATCCAACTCCAAAAAATCCAACAGCCATGATAAGAGAAGAGAACCAAGAGCTTATAGCTCTGATACCATGTTAGAAACTGAAAAGAAGGAGAAATATCTGAAGAAAGGTTTATTGCTTTCTTGAATTATATTGTATGTACATGACCTATATATAGGTGTTTACAAAGAGAATATTCTAAGGTATAAAGTATACAAAGAGAATATTCTAAAGTATAAAATATTTACAATAATTCTAAATATAATTATGTTCACATCTTAACACACGTAAACCTAGATTTGGGTTTGAGAAACATGGAGACATCAAAGAAGAAAGGGAGGACGTCGTAGAAGAAAGGACCTATTCAAATTCTTAACCATAAACCTTGAATTTTTTGTAGCCTTTGAATGTTGGGTTTCCTCCTGTAAAATAAAATAAAAAAAAATCATCAAAAAGAGAGAGAGAGAGAGAGACCAAACCAAATCTAGGAAAGAACCCAAATCTGAGTTCCAGGTTCATGTGAGAATAAGGCCAATAGATTTTTTTTATTACATCAGTAGAACTTAGCAAATGGTAAAAGTGATCTCCTTGACCCAATCCTTGCCATCCCTCGACCTCACTCTAACAAAACCCACCATGGGTCAAGGGAAAATGAGGAGAAGAAAATGGGAGAGAGATCCACGGGGGAAAAAAGGAGAAAAGGCAAGAGCAACAAAGATTGAACCTTGGCGTGTGAGTCTCGTTAGATAGCCAGGCTTGCTCGTCGTGGATAAAAGATCAGGTGGGCTGGTGAGGGAAAAAGGATGCGAAAAAAAGAAGGAATGGGAGGGCAATCTTGGAATTTCACATTAAAGTCATTATTGTTAGAGGTAATTGAGGGGTATTAAAATAATTGAATAGCAAGTCCATGTCATTTAATTTAAAAATTGCTATATGGATTACAAAAATGTCATACCACCTATTTAGTTTTCACCTAATATTCAATATTAAAGAAAAAAAATGAATTACTTAATGGAAGATTTAGCCTTGTCATCACTTAATTGATAGAAGAATGAAATTGGTACCAAAAAATGAAGTTTAGGGATCATTTTGATACTTTTTAAAGTATAAAGATAATTTTAGTATCAAAATGAAAAGTTAAGGGACCAAACTAATATTTTAACCTTCTTTTTCAAATTGTACTGATTATTTGAAAGTCGGATATATAACAAAAAGCCAATAATGTAAAACTATAATTTTTTTTCAGTGGTCCTGATTACAAAAGGATCAAGATATGGTAATTAGGGCGTCCACAAAGTCACTTGGACTCAAAACACTATCAAAAAGTCAATCTTTTAGTACCAAATTAACGGTTGTGCCTTTCTTCTTTTCAAAATTGTTAGTTTCTCTTATTGTATGGTGTATTTCTTACTTCACATAATTGTTGGTTTCGCTTATTGCGAGTATTGCATCTTTAATTATACTTTCAAATAACAAGTATCCATATTTACTTTATTAATTTTGGGATAATGCAAATTTATTCTCCTACTTTTGATTTCATTCTGAAAGCCATATAGTAGAATGCCTAGATTGCAGTTGGTTTGCAATTTA